ACTATCACATTAGAATTGTGATGTACCTGTGCAGTGTACATGCTTAAATGAACTAACACTCATCCAGGGGTAGAAAAATTCCTTAACACTAAGTGCTTCAAAACCTTTGACAAGCTCTTGTAGGATGGGTCAGACTTAACCCTGTAACTCCCAGAGGTGATTAACATGTAACTTCTTCCTATATTGTCCATACATTATCCAGCAAACGGGTAATGAGAATACTCAAACTTATCATGCAGGTAGAAGTTGTTACCTTGACCTAACATCAAATTCTTGTGACTTATTTACAAGGAAATTAAAAAATAAGGGGCAGCTATAAGGGAGAATTAGCAATTAGATCGTGGGAGTTAAAGGGCTAAGCCACCTCTTCAGCTCATGAAAAGCTAAGTTAAGCATCTGGGCCAGGTTGTTCAAAGCTGGATTAAGATAACCCAGGGTTAGCGTGAAATTTGATTGCAGATCTGAAAGCTTTGAAAGAAAACTCAGTTTAAATCTCTATGTCTGTAATTTGATGAGTGGATGTTCTAAAAGAATAGAGGGCATTTTCCAAAAAAGGCTTTTTTGAACATAGAAGTAAAGAAACCTGTATTAAATTTTAACCCTGGGTTAGCATTAATCGGCCTTCGAACAACTGGGCCCTGAATCCTTGCGCATTCAGATTATGGTAAGTCATCTTTCACTCACCTGTCGTGTGTTATGTTTGCCACATAAACATTTATTGCAACAATTTATTCAGGAAAGTTTTTCAGAGCACATTGTTTAAAAGATCTATGAAATTTCAGGTCAAATTGATTTCTACTGTCCTTTTAGTTCCAGATTTATTAGGGTAGCATATATAAAATAAATTACAAATCAAACCGACTTAAAATTATTTTTTCTTTTAATTTATCCATTTCAGCACACTGGATTACCTGAAGGTCCCAGGAAAGCAAGTTGTATGCCTCTGGATGACCATCAATATCAGGGATGTCTTCAAAAACCTTGTCATTATACGTTTTTGTGTATTTGTAACTCTGTAGGGATGCAAAATTTGTAGGTTTAAACCATTTACCCCACTTATGAGATCCACCAAAGTAAGTCAAATTTGACGCTTTGGATACAGGAGTGACAGGAATCCAAAATGAACAATTCTGTCAAGAAAAAGAAAACAAAGTTTTCTTTGTGGAATGTGTGAGGACCTTTCAAGATCTTTGATTTTATGAAAATATTAACTGAGCTAGAGCAAGAGCAAAGAAAAAAAAAAGAACAGAATAAAGTGGTGATATTTGATTCTATACAAAATCATGACAACTCATTCTGAGGTTACAAGCAGAATGGAAAAGAACATTTATTGATAATTCTGTTTATCTGAAAATTTTTACTAAACATTCCCGCATAGACCTTAAAATCAATTTTTGCAAAGAAACTCTGAAAGGATTTTTCCCATTACATCACAACTGTGTAAGCAAGAAGATCTGTGTGATCATCTGTTTTTACCTATTCTACAATCATCACCAAAATTCAACATACATTCCACAGATAAGCCAAAGCACCAGATTTTTTTTTTAGTTTACCCTCTTCCCATAAAAAGAGAGAATTAAGACATTAATGATCTTGTAGAAGACTTGAACAATCCACTTGATGCTTATTTGTCATTGTTTTAAAATTCTCCTCCTTCCCACATTTCACTATGCAAGCTTTTCCCCCAATTCCTTTTGCTTCCCAAAGTAAACAGCCTCTCAACCTAGCATTGTAATAATCTGTTCATTAACTTCAAAGCTATCAGTTCCTTTGATTTTACCTTCCATCCATCCACTGGGAAATAAGACTGGTCTTGATGCCAAGGAGTGGTGCAAGTTGTTCCAGGATCTTTGGTAAAAACGTGCTCATGATAAAATACAGCAAACTGTAAGATCAGTGTATTATCAAGTAAGAACAGATCACACATTTTAAATTAAAAATATTTACCTTACTATTTTTTCATGATTAACGAAAGAAGAAGAGAGACAGGGTTGTCTGTGTCAGAGGTAATTAATTTCCATTTAAAATACAGATTCCATGTTGCTGTGCATCTAATCTGTTCAGTAACAGAACACAGCTAATATGTCAAAACGAGGTAAGAATAACCCAGCCCCATTGCAATTTCACCCCCTACCAGTTCGCCTCCATTAAGAAAGTTAACTCATAAAATAATATAAGTGTACTTCAACTTTTACTAGTTTGCTACCATTAACCTATCATTCCCTCGATCTCATAAGTAATTCTCCTAATGATAGGATTTTTCTTGTAAAATTTCATAAGTTCTACCCAACCTTTAGCAGTTTGCCCTGAAATCTTCAACTCCATGCAGAAGCACCCTCAACCTCCCCTGCCAAAATTCTGTTAACCTACAAAGCTCACATATCACCTAAAATTTCCGAGTAACGCAGCAGTTAATCCAAAACTTCAGCATCCACTTCCCTTCTCCTGGCAACCTATGGGTATTTGACTGTTCTCTGTGCCTGAGGGGTGGGGAACTTGAACCTTGCCCAGGTCGGGTGGGGTATTTATGTGACTTTTCACTTTAATCCACAGGTTTAAATAGGAGAGTTTAAAGGTAAGGAGTCAATTGCCTTGGAAATACGACTTTGTTTTACAATAGTATTGGACTGTACAGAAATCTTGCTTGCAAGAAGGATAGAGGGGCAAATTTAATTCATAAGGGATGCAAGCCATCCAAAAGTACTATGAGCTTGCGGGATCAATTTTACTATAGGTAGTGTCGGCCAACATGGCAACTGACATGGCGACCGACATGTCGACCGACATATCGGTCAATATGTCGGTTGACAGTGGGTCGATAGTTGGTTGACAGGTCAGTTGATAGTCGGTTGATAGTCGGAAGATAGTCGGTGGATATGCCGGTCGATATGTCGACCAACTGTCGACCAACAGATGGAGTGTCGCGTCTTGGTAGAATATTGGTCAAGTGTCGGTGGAATATCGGTCAAGTGTCAGTGGTCTATCGGCTGAGTGTCGGTAGTCTATCAGTCAAGTGTCTGAACTTTATCGGTGAATATAGTTTGAACGTCGCTCATGTGGTTGTGTATTGTTGATAAGTCGGTATTGAAAAATTTGATTTGAAGAAAAATTTGATTTGAAGGCATAAAATTTCAGGTGTGTGATTAAGATAAGAAATGACTTATGAATGGCATGGTGAATTTAAAAAATTTGGGGGTGACTTATTTACTACAACATGAGCCACTCACAAATTGAAGTCCGTTAAGCAAGTAACAATAACGGGAAAGTGAAATTACCCTCATAAATGCAAATCCTTGAGTCACCGTCCCACTTTAAGAAAAAGTCAGCACCTATGATAAAACTTTCCAAAGACCAAAGGCCAAGTTTTCCTCTACTGCTTTTTCAGTGCAAAAATAAGGGGACAAAGAACTTCTCGAAAAAAGTTGGGCATTTTAGGAAGCTTGGCTTTTGATATACAATGTAAATTGAATCCCTTTTAGCCTGCATAGCTTGCGGTATTGTAGGCGCGTGCAAAATAAATTTTTGCCAGCAAAGCCCCCAGAAGCGAGCGGCGAAGCCACGAGAAATACCGCCTACCAGAGAACTTGGGTATTTTGAATGCC